AACTTCCAATCAACCAGTAGAACATATAAACTGGATCATGTTTTCAACAAACCTTACAGGCTTCCAGTCAAACAGTAGAACATATAAACTGGTTCATCATGTTTTCAACAAACCTTACAAGCTTCCAATCAACCAGTAGAACATATAAACTGGATCATGTTTTCAACAAACCTTACAAGCTTCCAGTCAAACAGTAGAACATATAAACTGGTTCATCATGTTTTCAACAAACCTTACAAGCTTCCAATCAACCAGTAGAACATATAAGCTGGATCATGTTTTCAACAAACCTTACAAGCTTCCAATCAACCAGTAGAACATATAAGCTGGTTCATCATGTTTTCAACAAACCTTACAAGCTTCCAGTCAACCAGTAGAACATATAAACTGGATCATGTTTTCAACAAATATCAAAGCTTCCAATCAACCAGTAGAACATATAAGCTGGATCATGTTTTCAACAAACATTACAAGCTTCCAATGAACCAGTAGAACATATAAACTGGATCATGTTTTCAATAAAATATCAAACCTTTCAAGATCCATTTAAATCCAGGGAATCACAAATGTCTATATACTTGTGTAATTAATCAAATCTCATATAATGCAATATATCGGTATGGTCATCAATAAAAAAAAAGGTTAAAAGTATCCTATTGATCTTATTTAATGAAGACTTTGATAAAATAGCCTGTCCTTTTAATTGTTTGTCATTTAAAAAAGTTAATCCTAATTATTTAGATGTTTAATATACTTCTATGTAATACAGAAACACAAAAGAAAATCTGTCCACTTAAACTTTTCTTTTTACAAAAGGTGTGGGTTAATTGTTAAATAATATAATGTTACGACAGCGGAAGTCAAGTGACGCTGGTAAAGGTGTGGGTTAATTATTAAATAATATAATGTTACGACAGCAGAAGTCAAGTGACGCCGGTAACACATAATGAGTTCTAGAAAGATCAGGGAACATCACGAATAATCCAGTATTTGCTAGGCACCCTCTATTCTTGTATATAAGTGCGCCAGACAATTAATCGGGATTAGAATTGCAGACAGGCAGAGACGGAGACTGACAACTGAGTCAAGTGCGGTAGTGAAGTGCGTGAATCGTTGTGAATTCTAGCAGGTGGTTAAGTGTATTGCACAGTTGTATTGAGAGGGAATAAACTAGTTTTATTTAAGAAAGGACTTGTATCGCTGAAGTTTCTTGGAAATAACTTCTACGGAAAATTAACAAGCGAACACAGACATAACAATAAGAAATATCCGAGACTTAACCATAGAGAACACACATTATTTTCATCCTATATCAACAGTTTTACATATGCAGAAGATCTCTCTTACTTTTAAGTTTTTCTGAATAACACTACTAACAAGGTATTACTAGTCTTCTATAGAAAATAATGTAACCTCTGTTTATATCTAAAAACAGATAAAGCTTTCAATTCTTTATCACTGGGCTGATGAGAGGATTGAAAACTGTACTTCTTAGCTTCTCATGGTATGACCTTTGTTAAGCAGTATAAGCAACTGTGTTTCATACCACAGTTTATCCACAAAGCATAAAAATATAATACTAAATCCAGATTTCAAGCTAAACAACTACAAACAGCTTTTTGCTATAAGAGAGAAAGGTATACACATGCATAAATAAAACCTATACCATGCTGTATCCAAGATCTTAGGTATCTTTATAACTAAACTATTTGGGTTGATATGGTGTGAACCTGCACTTCTTAGTTGAGCACTATATAGAATACATAATGGAAATTGACCAAAGCATAATTCACATAATACAACTAAATGCCACAGTATGTCAAGACTTTTAATAAGAAATGTGGAACACATAAATATATATAATATAAGCTATCATCTCAGGTTTATGATGAACAACTGCATGCTACAGGTTTGAGAAAATTATCTCATAAAGTAAACAGGAATATCTTTTTATAGTTCATGCATGCATACACTTCATGTCTCACAAACCTTGAACGAAAAGCAAATAAAGAAAGGGTACAAGAGATGCATGGACTCTGATACTAACAAACATATAAAACTGTATATTTAATTTACATTTTTCAAATAATAACTTAAGTTTTACAACCATATTAAATCAACCATACAATAATAATTTAGTGTAAACTTTTAATTTTAGTTATTGTAAAAGTTGGCACAGGAAAATACAACACAAAGATCAAAGTATTATTTAAAGTCTGACTAGTGTAAAAATCAATAAAAAAAACTTTATATGAAGAAATTAAATACCTTGGCAATTCAAAATATAATAAACATGTACAAACTGACAGTATCTGGCTTTTCTCTAAAAATATAATAAACATGTACAAACTGACAGTATCTGGCTTTTCTCTAAAAATATAATAAACATGTACAAACTGACAGTATCTGGCTTTT